CGACCTTGCTCGTCGAATCATCCCGACCCCACACACGCCCCAGACGGCGACTGAGAAAATCTGTCAAAATTATTTGGATTTACGGGGAACGCCAAGCAATTCGGGTTTGTAGGTAACACACCCATTTAAAAAAAATTTACACGATCGTAAAATGAAGAAATCACTAAAAAATCTTACGTAATTTTTTTCTTCTAACCACAAAAAAAATTACATTATAAATTTAGAATAATAATTTACATTCTTGCTCCATATCATTTCGTTAAAACTACCTAAGGTATATTCATAAATTAGTTGAAGTAGATATCATTTTTAAATGCATATTTATCTATCCCTACCATTTCAAAAAATGCCTAGTTACTAACTACCCACTAATCTAGCGTGAATAGCAACCAATAATAAATACCAAAATCTTGGAAATTAACATATTTAACAATAAAGTAAGATTTAAGGCCTGTCCCGAAATTGTAAATTGTCTGATAACAATCCAACATGCAAAATATGTGATAGAAATAACGGATTTTGTTACCTTATCTGATAGTAACATCTCTATCGGCCAGTGGTGGGACAGGCCCTAAATATTGAAATGAATTCATGTACTGAAGCAAGTTTACATGACAAACTAGTCAGCGGCAGGTTTTGAGTCTCCTTGCATAATGATTCATGAATTATTTATTGAACATGTAAAATTGCAGTTATACTTTTGGTGTATTCTTCCAAAGAAAACAATAATGTTTTTAAAATTTTCTTCCACATACAAAATTAAACAATTGGTTTGAAATGAAATTAAGAAAAGACAAGCCGTCTGAGTCAGTCGGATGATAATTATCAACAATGGAGTAGACAAACATAAGCAATTTTGTAAATATGTAGCGCAAAAAGTGATATTTAGAAATAAGTCAAGATAGAAATAGGAAATTTTGTAAATAGTTTAAGTATAATATTATGAATTTTAAAAAAGTTTAAGTTTTAACAAAGATATCAAGTTGAAAATAGGAAAAAAGTAAGCAACGTTCCTGGTCCAAATGTTAGGGGTATGAGAGGGCGGCATGGAGCCGCCCATAAAAAAAAACATAAGCAAAAACATTACTTCTTTATAAATGAACAGATAATACTATGTCTATAGAGTTATGTCTATATTTTATGTAAAAAAAACATTTGCCTAACAAACACTATCTCATCTTTGCTTATCAAAATGAATAATTTACCTATGAAATGGAAATAAGACTTACTTAGACATAAGAATATCTTACAGTGTTTGGTCTGAAATATATTTTTGCTCAAAATTGTAATATCTGATTAAAAATTAAAACCTTCACTTTGCTCACATTATTACAAACCAGAAAGCCATATGGTATGTTATCTTTGATAAATATAGAAATAATCAGTACATTTTAACACTTCATTTGCACACATGATAAAAGTGGCAAAAACTTACAAATTATTGAATGTATCTTTATTTTAAACTAGCTGTTGCTTGTGACTTAAAGACAAACTACAAAGGTAGAGGTCGCCCATAGAAAGTATGGATGAATTGTGTTATAGAGGATATGCTTAAGAAAGGAGTGGATTCAGATATGACGGCTGATAGAGATGTATGGAAGAGCAGAACATACTATGCCGACCCTCTGTAAGGGATAAAGCCAAGTGGATGAGCTGTTGCTCGACTTCGTCTGCATGAATATCTAAAACATAGCCTATGTTACTAACAGATAAATTACTATTCTAATGGTGAAACAATTTTCAATATCGGCCCAGTAGTTTTTGAACTATTTAAATACATACAAAAATACAAATCTTTATAGTATTAGTATAGATTCAAAATACTAGCAAATGCATTACTATATCAACTCATATTACGAAAAGACTTATGTCTTCAAAGATCTCATGAGAAATGTAACTATTTTTATTGGATAATCTAACTGACCACCAACCTCGACTATTTATGACCGGTTTCCCAGCTACTTTTACCAATTCATTAGTATTAATTTGGTTTGATAACTTCTTCAAATGCGTTTCTGAACTACATAAGTTGAGTTAACTCCTTTGAAACTTGCTTCAACCTAAAACTACTATCACTAGGTAATAAACGGAAACTTCAGCAACCCAGCATTAGAGGCAGATAACTTGATTTGAATTGTCAGGTTATTTTAAATCTTTATTTGTAATCTAAATAACATTGAATCAAATTGTTTATTATTAGGACATAAATAAAAGATTAAAACAGATCTATTGCAATTTAATATGCATTTTTTTACTTTGTTACTTATAACATCATAATCAATATTCTTAATAATGGGGATTATTATCAAATACTAGTAACAAGACTAAGAGATCAAATTTAAGTATTGTCATTAATAAGTATTTAAGATATCATTAATTGTACCATTACATCATCATTATACTAATTGTATTAAGAGGAAAGATTTGTATTTTTAGACTCTTGTATGTATTGAAATAACACAAAAACTGGCCGATTTCGAAAATTCTTGCACCATTAAAAAACTATGTTATCACTGAGTAACGTAGGCTATGTTTTTTACTATTATTTTTATCTTATAAGATATATTAAACACAATACTAAAATTTGTAATGTAAATTTCAAAATTAAGTAATTACAGTAGCATAAAAATTTAGCCTTCACATAAATGTGCTTGTTACATGTATGTCATGCTACTCAATGCATAGCAACCTGTCACGCCCCATTAGCTGCACAACCACTTGACTTATTGTATTTGATAGATGATTACTCACAATACTTATCTTTAGGTATAGCCTGATTACCTTCGTGATTCTTTAATATTTAAACTAAATTGTATGTTCAAGACTCAAATAAAAAAAAACCTACTTAAGAATATGTTAAAACGCTTTTATAAATAAGTTTTGAATCATCCCAAGCAAGAAATACAATTTTAAGTATAAATTTATTCGTTAAATTTGACAAGCGGCAAAAAGCTTCAATGAGAAGTTACAAGGCTAATAAAACCTAAAGACCGAAATCTATTAAGAATTTACATATGTATAGAAAACAAGGTACAAACTTATTGTAATCTTACACTCCTCGTTTTTAATAAGATATGATATCACTTATAATTTGTCTGTAACTCAATTTCATACAAAATAAAACACCTTTTTATAGGCCAAAGTACCTACTTACCTCAAAATTGGATTCACTTGCACAATCACAACGAACAAACAATTTCTTATCCAATTTGCGATTTTATTAACATAACACGTACACTTTTAATGTAGGGCTTCAGTAATAATCACTATTCATGTAGAAAATTCCAAATTATCATCTGTGACTGCGAGTACGAACGAGCGTCGAAGGCGAGGCAAAAGATCGCCGCGAAAGCATCACCTTACCTCACATGTCATAGATTAAGTGACAAACAGCTATGTAACAAAACTGGCTGTTTGCTGTACTGCTTGCTAATAATGTTTAAAACATTTTTGTTGTTTTTGTATGTAAACTTTAAGCAAGGGTACTTGTTATTTCTGCAATTGAATACTTCAAAACAACTGGAACAATGTGTGGCTTATATATATTTCGAAATGGAAAATACCGTGTAGCTAAATTTTAGCGCTTTCTTTTCGTATTATACTTAATGCAATTAGTGATTATTTAAGATTAGCTGAAATTTTCTATGAAGACATTTAATGAAATAAAAAAATGCAATGTTAAGTATTAAAAGAACTCTGATGGCGGAAATAATACTCTTTGACAGCCATGATGTCATGTTGTGTCATAGACAAAAAGTTTTTTTTAGTCTATGAATGATTGCAATGCGCTTGCGTTCGGAAGTCCAGAAACACGTAAACGTTGAGTTATGTCATCCATTCAATAAATATTTCAAAACAAATTAATTTCATAACAAAAACAAGGAAAAATTGCTGTTAAAAGTCTTAATATTTCGGCTAATGTGATAATAACTAATATGCAAAATGTATTTTGCTTGATTAAAATAACTAACCAATGTTATGTGATGCGGATTTAGGATTTAATAAAATACCCTCTTTTTTAGTAAGTAAAAGTATAAGATAGCAGTACTTTATAAATATATTTTTTTTTGTAACTGTTACACAGAATGTAAAGGTTTTAAATTTAAACTATTTGCTGAATAATAAAACAACCGATATTGTAATTTGTTTATTAAAAATAAACTAAAAAAAACTGTTTTCTTACAACTAAATTTTATCACAATATATGATTCATTTAAACAAACATATTAGACAATTTCATCTTAATCATAAAATAATTAAAAGAGTCCTTAACTTCTATCTTGTTTCGAGGTGGCGCTAATGACGTCTTATCACTAACTCGAGCCTAACCGCCACCATTTAGAACTAGCAAATAGCAAATACTAATTCTGTACCTTTAATTAAAACATTTTAGGTGACATTTGACATTAAACTTATCATTTGTTCGAATTTCGTTACAATAGATATTTCTGTAACATATCGAAAGTATAGTAACCTAAAATACCTTAAATGTCTAAAAAACTACAAAAACGGTCAAATTTCTAAAAAACTTCAAAATTCTCAAAAGCACCACCTCAAGCATTTATTTGACAATAAAAATAAATTAAACTATCAACTAAACATTAATTTAATAATATCGGACAGTCTTCTCGGAAAACTACTCCATTTAAATTAAAACCATCTTATAATAATAATAATTTCAATACAAAAGCACCAATATTTTATATTACTAAAATGTACGGGTAATCTATCAATGTTTGAAAATAACGTTAAATAAATTTAAGTATGTTCTTACATCATGTAAATATTTCAAATTCAATCTAAAATTTAACATTATTTGGAGATTTTACTTAACTTGTTAAAAAATATAATTTGCTACATATGTGAATTGGTTTTCGAACGAATTTGTTTCAAAGTAAACAATTTGAAACACATTTTTTGTTTCGGAAACGTTAAATTAATTCAAAATGCTCTTGCATATGGCCAGTTATTGCTAGAAGATGAATGGTGATCTAAATAAGGGCTATCAGTTAGTAACAATTTACTCCCACTTAGACCAGAGCTCGAACTCTCGCTAGAAGAGAATAAACTCTTGCTGCCGGTATAGAAAGAGAGAGAGGTATGCAATGGTTCGCGAACCATTCGTCTTCTCGCTCGCACTAACGATGCAAATGCAACAGCTATAGCGCATAGGAAAATGATCCCTAACACGCAAAACGCTAGCGCCATTTTGCCAGGTGATAAACATATCGTTTTGTCTCCTGGTGAGAAGCCTCGCACGAATTCATCCTTGTCGCCGTCTATTCTTCTCGATCCTGTAAAGAAACCATTTTCAAATTTAACAAGCCTCTCAAGTCTTCTTAAAAATCATTATCAGAAGAGTTACAGATATAATAGTTTTAGCCATACTTATTTAGGAGAAAAAAAAACAATGAGAACTACAAAAAAAAAATGAAATTGCAAGGAATTGCTGCACCATGGTAGCATGGCGTATACAAATTGATTATTGATTTTATATTTACTCCACTTAATAATAAGAATAAAATTATAGAAAATTACCTCTTATTGATGCTTCATCCTCCAGCTCAATATTAGGAGCAAGTACCTCTATACTATTGTACACCTCTAGCCTGTCGATAACCAGTCCTCTAGCGTCTTTATCCAGCC